GGTTGGCGCAGGATAGAGCAGGGTTTAGGGCTGTTGTGCATAGGGTCGCTATGAGTCACAAACGACTCGACGGCACATAACAACAACAACAACAGTGTTGCGTTGTCAGGGCTTTCTAGTTGGTCTTACCTAGCACATCCAACAGCAAGCCACTGCCATCAGGTTGCTTCCCGCTCACAGTGACCTTCCATTGGATTTCTGAGGCTGTTTGTTTTAACAGGAGGAACCCATGCATCTTTCTCCTGAGGAGCTCCTTGTGGGTTCCAACAGAGATGTGTGGGAGGTCTTTAGTTTAGCAGTGCAGAACTCTGCAGACTGTGCCACCAGAGCCCCTTAATTTAGTACGTTGGGAGATAGGAACTAGGTGACCCATTGTTCAGCCATGTCCTAAAGGGTTGGTTTTTTTTGTTTGTTTTTTTAATGTTTGTAAATTATTTGGGTCCTTTGAATTTACTTAGAAATGCTGTTGCCATTTTTAAAAAATTTCCATTAAACTACCATGTGCATGCTTTTTCTTTGCTTTAGGTAACAATTCTTTCTTTTACATTTTAGGCAGTTCCTTTTAGTCTTGACAGTGTTGCAAATTCCATTCATTCCTTATTTTCAGAAGAAACTCCTGTTGTTTTGCAGCTGGCTCCAAGTGAGGAGGTAAGTGATACAATTTTTGTTTAAAATGCTTAAAAAGAAATTGTAGTAATTTAATAAATGTTTTAACTGTCTGAAAATTGCTATCAGACTTCTGTAATTTGGGAATTAGTCTATAGAATGTGAGTCATTTAAAATTTGGATTCTTCTTGCAGAGAGTGTATATGGTGGGGAAAGCAAATTCCGTTTTTGAAGACCTTTCAGTAACTTTACGGCAACTCCGTAATCGCCTATTTCAAGAAAACTCCGTTCTCAATTCACTTCCCCTCAATTCCCTGAATAGGAACAATGAAGTAAGTAGTACAGTTATTGAATGGGTGAATAAGTAAGCATCATTACTAATTTCCCAGAGCAAATTGGAAATTTTAGAAAATGAAAAATTTTGCAAATTTACCATGGAAGTAGATTCTGCTTTCCTTTAATGCAATTTTTTTGTGACTGATTCTTTTGTGAGTTGAACTGTCGTAAACAGTATTCCTCTCTAGCACAAAAGTTGCCACTTATTAATCCAGACAAATCAGTAATCAAGAGTCTACTTTGGTGGCTGGTTGAGCTATGCATTGTTGTTTTGTGCCATAGAGTTGGAACTGACTCATAGCTGACCCTCCAGTGGGTTTTCAGACAATCTCGTGGGAGGAGATTGCCCATCCTTCTCCCTCGGAGCAGCTGGTGGATTCACATCATGTGCCTTTGGGATTGCAGTGCAGCTCCTTAACAGTAGGCCACCGAGCTCCCTGGCTATAATTGGTAGAGCTGTGTAGATTCTGGTAAAGTGGGAGCTGTTACACTGTGACTACAGAGATTTTGCCACGTTTTTTAATCACTCTTAACATTGAGCCAGCCCTACTTTTGACTCCAGTCCTTCCATTGCAGCGTCTGCCCATGTACCCTCCTAAGTACATGCCACACTACCGTTGAGGTAGCTTTGTCTCTTTACTGTGGATGACCGGAATCATTGTCTTTTATTTTTCCACTGTGGGAATTGTGCCAAAATGTGCCATGGACGGGACTGTCCCAGAATATCTTGATGACCTGAGGGAAAAGAACTTTAGATGCTTTACTATAGTTTTCTCAGAAATACTGCTGTTTAGTTATAATAAGTGCTAAGGTTTTTTTAAATAGAGAAATAATGTTTCTTGTGCATTTTTCAGTTGACACAAACCTGCCAAATGAAAGAAAAGTGCCTTATAAATTCACATATAGTATTAACATTTGTAATATCCAGAGTCTGTCTTGGTGGAATAACAACTAAAAATCTCGGAAACATATTTAAACTCTTTTGGCTCTCTAAAGGTCGACCTGCTCTTTCTTTCCGAACTGCAAGTGCTACATGATATTTCAAGTTTGGTAAGTAGGCCGTTCTAGTTTTTCAGTTGCATTTATTTTGGTTCCAGAAGCCATTTCTCGAGAATCCTCTAATGGTAGTGAGACCTACTGAAAATGTGATTATGATATGTGATCCTTTGAAAATCTAGCAAATAGCATTGTTGTTGAAAAGTTTTAAACTTGTGTCAAGTGAGATAATTTTCTGTATCTACATGTAGAATAGAGAGTATATTCTTCAACTAACTCAGGTGCATAAGAATAAATACTGTATAAGACCATTATTATAAAAACCAAAGGATAACCAGTAAGATATGTATGGATATCTAAAAAGGAAGGGAGGGTAAGGGAGCTGAGGGTCGGAAGGGGCATGGAAGGCACAGGGTCGCAAAGTTTGATGGGTAGAGGGAGCTGGTGAGAAAAAAATCCAACAATGTACATGAATGAAACATGATTTTAAAAAAATTAAATATAATTTAAAAAAAATTTTTAAAAGAAAGAATATAAGCCTAAGAATGAGGACTCCCTGGCTGTAGTCCTAACCTGCTATTGACTCTATTAAACATTAAGACGTAATTCCTATATCTCTGCATCTAATATATAAATAACAGTTTAGACTAAAAATGCTATTCACCAGGTCATCAAATAAAGGAATACATCTGTCTGAATGGCATTTTTGAGGTGAATATTCTTTTTAAATCATCTCTAGGATATAAATAAAAACACTTATCCACTCCCTTCTGAAGTTGTTTCTGAAACTTTTTCGGTGGGTATTGGTTTTGAGAGAGTCTGTGGGTAGTGCATGTAGTTAAGCATTTGACAATTTGTCAACAGTTTGGAGGATTAAATTCATTCAGAAATGCCTTGAGAGATAAGTCTGGTGATCTGCTTCTGAAAGATCACAAACTTAAATACTTACTTGTATGCCCACCACTGGGCTAGGCAGCTCCCAACAACCCTATGCAGGACACACTACTATAATCTACTGTTTCAGATGGCAGAACTAGACCCAGAGAAATGAAGTCATTTGCCCAAGGTCGCACAGCAAAGTAGAAGAGAAGGATTGGAGAGATAATGCTAACTTTTTTAAAAATTCATTTTGGTGTCCTTTACAGTGAGGAGTATAAGATTTCACCCATAGTAACCAAACCTGTTGCTCCTGATTTAATTTCAGTTCACAGTGACCCTATACGACCCAATAGAACTGCCACATTGGGTTTCCAAGGCTGTAAATCTCAACAGAAGCAGATTGCTTCATCTTTTCTCCAATGAGACAGCTTGAGGGTTTGAACTATAAGCCTTTCAAATTGCAGCCAAGTGCTTAAACACCATCAGGACTTTGTAGATTCACAGTAGGTGCACAGTCTGTTAAGAGGTACAGAGGGAGGGTTTGAGGAGCCTCTGTCTACACTTCTTTGATGAATGTGCATCTCTCCGCCTATTCTGGGGGTGGGTGGGTGGTGAAGATAGGCCTGGTGATCTGCTTCCCAGAAACTCTATGGAGCACGTCTACTCCACATACATGGGGTCACCATGAGGCAGCACTGACTTGACAGCAACTAATAGCAAGAATGGGCTCCTGAGATTTGTGTTGGATTTATTGTATCCAGAATGCCCCTTTCGACCATTTCATGGTACAGTCATGTGCTTCTGTTCAACCTAGTTTAGTTTGACATCTTAGTTTATTCACTACCTTTTTTCCCCTCCTCCTCCAAAGTTGTCTCGACATAAGCATCTCGCCAAGGATCATTCTCCTGATTTATATTCCCTGGAGCTGGCAGGTTTGGATGAAATCGGGAAACATTATGGAGAAGACTCTGAACAATTCAGAGATGCCTCTAGGATCCTTGTTGACTCCCTACAGAAGGTAAATGATGATGGTGGTAGGAGTTGGGAATATACCATTGCACTTTGAGCCTCTTAGTGGAAGAACTGGCTTTATGTAACACTGTTGAGCGAAGTCTTCCTCACCTTTTTTTGATGGTTCTCTCATTTTAGTGGCCATGGATGGAGTGAAAGGGGTATAGTATGTTGGGATATATCTTCCTAATGCTAGGAGAAATGCCATGTATGGCACCCATGGTTACAAGAACCCACCCAGAGGTACCACAGAAGTCAGGCGTGGCAGTCTGCTTTTGAAAGGAACCTGGTGGAACAGTTCTCTTCCACACCCATGGGGTCCCCAGAGTCAGAGTTAACTGGGTGACAACTAACAACAACAGTATTGATGGGTGGGGGATCATTAGTGAGTGGTACCTCTAACATAATACCTTGTTTTTAAAAACTTAAAATTGTTGTATGATTATTTTCTGGTGCAATGAAGCCTTTTTATTCCTTTGATGAAGACAGTAAATATTCATGACCATATTGTTGTTATAGGCTGTTGAGTCGACTATGACTCATATAGCAACTCTGTGAACAACAGATCTGAACTTTTCCCACCCCTGCGCTACCCTCATGATCTCTGACATGCTTGAGACCATTGTGGTAGTCACTGTGCCAAACCACCTCATTGAGGGTCTGTCTTTTTCTGACCCTTCCCTCCTTTTCCCAGCATATCTTTTTCCAAGGACTGGCCCCTCATCCATAGAAAGAAACCTCAAACCTACTCCATGATTTCCAACTCTTTGTAATCCTATGGGGCACAGTAGAACTATCACATAGGATTTTCTAGGCTGTAAATTTGTACAGTATTCAACTTCATCATTCTCCTGTGGAGGGGCTGGTGGGTTTGAACCGTCAACCTCTAGGTTAGCAGCTGAGTACCTACCTACTTAAATCACAGGGATTGCTTAGTGAATGGCTAAACCAAATTTATTTATTCAAACTGCAATTTTTTTCACATTTAGGTTTTTTTAACATTTTAATATTCCTAGATTTTATTGTAATGACCTTCCTAGTGCATAAATCCATCTTTAGCTATAGCTATTTCTTTGGGGTACATTTTTATTGGGTGAGATATAAATACTATAAAGGCTTTGGGTACTCCAGGAAGGTTGTATGCATTTATACCACTTTATGAGGGAACTTTTATCATTCACCTTTATGACTTGTTCACAGTGTACAAATGAGTGGTTGGATGTATATTTACACCTACCAGTGTCTAAGCATCAATTTAAGAACATTTGTGGCATCTGGAAAGAAACTCTGTATTCATTAATGTCATCATTTCCTTGTTACACACTCATACTCTCTATTACATACACACACACAAACACACATATCCAGCCCTGACACCACTAAAATTTGCTGTTTTTATGGCTTTGCCTAATCTCGATATTTCATATAAATGGAATCGTGTAATATGTAGCTTTTTCTATTCTTTTTCCATTAAGCAAATTTAGCTTTTCATTGCAATTTTAGTGAAATTATACAAACAAATTGATTTTCCATTTAGTCATTTATGTACACTTTATTTTATGATGGTGATTATGATCCCTGCATTAGAGCTGCAGTCTTCCCACTGTATCCCTGTGATTATTCCCATTCATCCTTCCATCATCTCCCTTCCCACGTTTTGATCTTGTACAATTGGCTGTTCTAAGGTCTCAGTACTGCCCTGGTATTATTGTCTACCTACTAGGCCTATATATTGCCTGGCTTCTTGTCATTTTTCATATTTTCAAAGTTTATCCATGTTTTAGGGTATAAAATTTTCTCATTCCTTTCTATAGTGAACAATGTTACATTATATGTATATATCAATTTGTTTATTCATTCATCAGGTTGATATTTTTATTATTTCCCCCTTTTTTGCTATTATGAACATATGTGTTCAAGTTTTTATGTGAACATGTTTTTTTATGTATTTTAAGTATATTCCTAAGAATGACATTGCTAGGTCATATGATAACTCTGTTTAACGATTTTTTAAAAATTTCTTTCTTTTTCATTTCAATGAACATCTACAGAGATTTTGGAATTCCATTCATTCATTGTTGCACCCCTCTCCCGCACCCCCCCCCCCCGTTTGCTCCTCTCCTTCAAACGCAAAAGAAAAACTCCCTCATTGGTACACAATCCCCCACACACATCCCCCAACCCCCAAATATAATCCACTCTGCAACCCTCATT